GAGGGAGGGAGACGGAGGGAGACGGAGGGAGACGGAGGGAGACGGAGGGAGGGCGGGAGTAATCCGATACGTCTCAAGTCAAAGTAATCATGACATTGTCGTGGGTTCTTCCTTGTCCTGGACAACTTCTGCAATAACCAGATTTGTTGCTCCATCATACAGAACAAGGAAAATCAATTTAGCTGTTTTGCCGGGAATTGGCAACTTTCCATGCTCAGCGAAGGTGAGATCACCAAAAACTTCAGAACGAAGTCCTGAAATCTTGGCCTTGGAAGGAGCTCTTAAAATGTTTTGTGCTCTTGACAAATGGAACACTTCTTCACAAACTGATCCTAAAGCTCATAGATCTGAACTGGAATCTGCAATGCCGCAGTCCTTCGCTTAAGCTGGTCAAAGTTCATATGGTGGTGCTTCAAGTGAAGCTTATATAATTCCACCGGGCCCTTGACCTTTTCATGGATTCCTCTTCATGCCAAAGGAAATGCAGGAGATTCTGTTGGGGCCCACTCCTCCTCAAATCTAAACAACTGGTTCTTCTCGTGAAGAAGATGCTGGTTCTTGAGCCGGGTGTTCACTTGACCCAAGTGGCTTGACACCAGCGCCGTAACATCTACCTTGGGCTTGAATCAAGGCTTGGCCTTCGCCATTTCCTTGGAAAAGAGGGACCTTCTGTGGAAGGTTTAGAACCACATGTGGATGGTTCTGAGGTTCCTTCTGTTGAAGGTTCTTCTTCTTTGTACCTCTTGCAGCGTAAGTGTGTTTCACCCGTCTTCCTTTCGCAGGCAAGACACTTGGGTAACTCTTCATCACCTGCTGCATGTGCTGTGGCTTCAGAGGTACGACTGGTTGCAGGATTCCTTTTCCAAGTGGAAGTAAAGCTGAGCAGATCCAACACAAGATGGCTATTGGTGATGGCTAAGAGAACCGTTTGGTAAAGTTCAAAAGGCTCACAAGAGGCAAGGTCTGCCGGAGTCTGCCGTAAGACTGCATTCCAAAGCCATGCGCGGGTTCCCTCAATATACAGAACAGAATAGGCACGGGACCTTGGTCAAGAAGTTCAATCTTGGTGTCGCGCGGTGGCACGGTTTCAAACCACGATTTGACCTCCTCCTTGATAAGAGCCGTCTCACTGTCAGCAAAGGAAAATACTTGGTGTCGGACGGAGAGAAAGTGAACTCAATCTCTCCGGGTGCGTAACGCTCTACCGCCTTGATCAGTCTGTTGACATAGCACTTGTGCATCCTGAGACAAGAATGACGTAGGTAGGGTTCCGTTCAAGATTGATGCATTCAGGAAGAGCAGGCAGCACAGTATGCTGCATCGGAAAACTGCTGTGGCAGTATGCATTCCATGCTCTTCTTCCTGTCCTGTTGTTACAGGTGTCACGGAATGGTAACTCTCGTAGCCGTAAGAGTAAGACACAGGGTTCTTTTGCAGATTCGGATCAGTGCCTGTTCCTTTTGATCCTTTTGTTCTTCTCTTTGTTGTCTTTCTCCGCGTCTGTCTATTCGAGGCAAATGCTGCATATGAATACGACGGTTGTTCATACATGGCATAGCTCCATCCCTGATCAGCATAGTAGCTGTCTTCGTGCCATTCATCCCAGTCCGGAGCTGTGGCTTCGTAGGCTCCAGGAGAAGCGTTCGCTTGATCCTCTGTGAGGACGCGGCCTTAGCGGAATCTTTTAGTTTTCTTTTCTTCGCTCCTTTAAACGCCTTTCCTTTGTGCTCTTTGTCCTTTCCCTTTCCCTTGCCTTTGCCACCTTTGTCCTTTCCTTTTCCTTTACCGTTGTAACTGGGATCGGATGGAGGCTCTTGGCCGTCTGCCTGGTTGGCTCTCCCTTTGGAGCAATAGGGCCTAAAGCGGCCCGGGGAGCCGGGACGCATTCCAGTTCTTCTTCCTGTCTTGAATCTTCTAGCCTCAATGGCTTAATGGTCATCCATGACCCAGAAGACTGCCTCATCATCGTTTGCGAGAAACTTTTCTTCCAGAGTGTCCTCCTCTTGGAGCCAGCATTCTTCTGCTCCGTCATAATCGCCTAGAATGAGAAAGTTTCTTCCGCCCCGCTTGCGGCAGGTATCTCTTCTTCTTCTTCGACGGTCTTTCTTGTGAGAAAAGTGCCGGATGTTGGGGTCTTGAAGACTTGTCTTCGTCGTTGCAAACTGCTCAAAGATGGTTTGACGAACGATATTGTACGTGTACGTTTCTATCAGGCAGCCATAATTTGCAAGTGTAGACACAATCCGTCCCTTTGGTGTTCATCCAGATCGGACTGCACGAGGAATAAGAGAGACCGGAGAGTGTCGTTCAATGGAAAGTAACGCGTGTGGGCGTCTTCACGCCCACGGATCCATCCCAACATTGTGCTTCTGCCTGTTCCGATGGGTCCTGTAAGCGCGTGAAAGTCGGGTCCTGCCCGAAGACAGTTGCGAATCTGGTGGGTTATCTGCCAGAGCTACCTCCGGTAGAAGGTCCATCCAGGAGTTTCGCGGCCTCTACAGGACTAGCTATTATATCTAACTTAGCAATCCAGGTGACAACGTCTTGGTTGCCTTGCCACGCCATAAAACGACCCAGGAATCTCCATAGGAAGACATAGTGCTCGCCTTTCACGAAGAAGGGACGCATTTTCTTCTTGAATTAATCTGCTCCGTTGGCGGTGCAAAATTTGTCTCGGCCAAGCACTAGGGCCTAGTGCTTCCTTCTGCACTTTTTGTAGACTCGTCTTGAGAGACGGGCCATTCTTGGTTTCATCCGCACCAGTCATCGTAAGCAGGTGCTTTTTTCGGTGTGATAGCGAGATGGCTGGGCTTTTTGTCGCTCGTTATACCATATCCTGGATTGCGGCATAACACGTTGGACCTTGAGAGGTTTCGTCCTCTGAGTAGCCTCCGGAGGAATTGCTGTTGCTGTCATCACTCTGTGAAGACTCAATGCCCGCCTTGGGAAGCGACTGGCCGGAGCCAACCGCTGTGGTGGTTTAAGTGAGGGGGACGAGCCCCACGCAAGCTCCCCTTCCTGAGGGAGGATACCGGTACAGTATGGTCCCTGCTACCTAATGACTTGTCCCTTGCACGCACTGCAATACACTTGTTTTGCTATCGCTGAGAGACCTGGTATCAACAACCACTTGAGCCATATGTTACGGAACATACATGTGAGTGGCCTGTCATTGCTGAAGGTACATGACTGTACTGTCTAGACGCGACAACATGGAGGAACTGTGACACAGGAGGCGTTCACGTGGTAGGGCCATCGATACGGTGTATTTGATGTGTTTGGCACAGCGCATGAATCTATGGAATGTGGCCCAAATGCCAACCGCGGCCACCAGAGCGAAGGGTTTCGCCAACAAAGAGAGGAAGAAGTCCGGTAGAACATCACCCCTTCCCGAAGCGGAAGTGGTAGATGTGGAAACCCTCGGGAGCTCGACCAACTTGGACGGTGGTGGGGGACGACCTCACACAGCACAAGATGCGAGGGCAAGCTTTGGAGTCACCTACCTGTGATAGGTTGTGGTGGTTGGGGCGCCACGACGACCTCGACAGCCGGTTAGGCATGGGGGGCCTGTTGCCAGCCACCGCGTTTGTTTCACGGCTGATCTTCCCTGAGAGTTTGCTCCACTTGTCGGGTACCCGAAGGCTGCCCTGGGTTTACTCAGGCCCAGTATTGTACGACTTGTGCTTCTAACCACCTTCTGGCTCTAGGTTGCTGCAGTTACCACACACTTGCGGCTACCATGTGCAGCGGGTCTCGGCCAGACATCCCTGTCAATAGGACGCGGGGCAAAAGAAGAGGGTGTGATGAATTAGATTCGATTCCCCCGTTCAAACTCTCCAAAGCGCGTACCGGAGCAGCCTGCAATATTCGCATGTGCAAGAGAGCGGGATACTCTGAAGGCGTGTCTTAGCAAATCTGAAAGCGGTAGCTGCTCAGCGAGTGTCTCAGCCTTGGCATAGATTTGCATTGGCGTGGCCGATTCGAACGGTGGATGACCCGAGCAAAGCTCAAAGGTCAATATTCCGAGCGTCCACCAGTCCACCTCAGAATCTGCACGAAGTGCTCGCATCATGCAGTACTGCGGCGCAGCTCTCAGCGCCGTTCCGCCAAGGTGTGGCCTGCACGGCTGCAACTCTGCCGATGTGCGCTTCAAAGGTTGCAGAAGCCTTTGGATGCGATAAGCTCCGGGGCAAAATAGTCCTGGCAAGGTGTCGCCAACGGCGAGTTGCTTGCTAGCGGGGGCCACCAGGGCCCGCCGGGACGCGGGCAAGGAGGGGGTGCGGGTCTTGGCAGCCAGGTGGCTGGAGTGCCGCAAGTTGTGAAGGTCTTCCCGGGCACCACCTCGGCAGAAACGGGATGAGAGACGGGGCGGGGCGCTGCGTTTGCAGTGGCGACAGAAAAGGCACCTTCGCGAGGCCCATGTCTGTGAGCTTCACGTGGCCCTTGTCATTGAGCAGGAGGTTCTCCTCCGGCGTCTGGCGCGTCCCTCCGTCCCTGCCGGGCTTCCTCTGAGTCCCTTTTTGGGGCAGGCGCTGGCTTGAGGTCTCGGAAGATGATCTTCTTGCTGTGCAGGTGTTCGAAGGCGAAGACAGTGCCAGCCACGTAGAACTTCCCGCACTTCTCCTGGAGGCAGCGAAACCAACAACACGCGCCCTGTAGACTCTTAGACACATGTGGCAGGGGTCATTTCCCCAGAAGTTCTTCTTGTTGTAGGTGGCATAGAGCTCGCCGCCCAATGCCAGCTCCAGCAAAAAGTACAATGACTGGTCATAGTTAAAGGTTTCCTCAGAAAAGCAACGAGAGTGCCCTAGTCCCTACCCTGCACTGCAGCAACTGAGTGGCGCAAAGTGTCGTAAAGCTTCACAATGAAGGGAGAATCGCACAGGAGCTGAACGTTCTTCTCGCTGATGACACTGCTTTGCATTCCACTTTTCACCTGCTTTCTTCAGTGGCTGCCAGATTTCATGACGCGCATGCAAGGTGGATAAGGCACGGGCCACATATCCCTTGCTCAAAGCCTTTAGTGCGTAGGTCTCTCCTGTGTTGAGATGCTCCACCTGAGCTGGGACGGTGGAGGGCACCTTAGACCCTTCGTGAGAGAGACTGCTACGTCCAAAAGCCGTACCTGGGTTTCGGTTGCCTGACACCGCAAATCCTTCCCATTCGCAAACTTCTCGTTCATCCCATCTGGAACCTAGAATGTCTCAGTCTGATACTGTATCTTTTTACCTCTGTGAACGGATTGCGAGCGGCCGGTCCCGTCAGTTCCGTTCCATTCCAGGTCTAAACTGCCCTGACACTGACAGCATCTCGCACTGAACAGCAAATGTTCAGCTCCTTACTGTGCAACGTGGCCGCGCAAGCACATCCCCCGAGACGGGTCGGGTCGCAAATGGGTTCGGAGCTCTTGGCTGCTGACTGTTGACATCCAGCAACTGCATCGACACCGAGTGGCCATCTCAACTGCGCCAAAGCCACCACACCCCAGCAAGCCAAGCTTCTTCAAATCCTGCAATTTCAACACACCAGTGAAAAGATGTGGTGCTGACAGACATGCCAACAGCTTCTGGCACTGCCACGACTCGGGCTACTTTCTGCTCCACTGCTCCGCTCCTTGAACTTGATCTTCCCGAAGCTGGCCGCCGCACTGGGCGCCACCGTGACCGGCTTCTTCACTGAGCCCGTGCCGTCCTTGCCACGCCTCGTGAGCTCCTGCACGGCTGCCAGGCAGTATGCGCATTGAGAGCTCACCGCGATCCAGGGATATCCAGGGGCGGGGTCCGGGTGCGAGGTCTCTCCTGCAAGGACCCAAGGAGGATCTCGAAGGATTCTTTGTCGACCACCAACGTCTGATCACAGGTGCGCCAAACCTACTCCATGAAGACTTCAGTACGCCGCGAGATCCCATCTAAGCCACAGTAACTGCAAATACTGCACGTGCCTTCGCTTATACTGGGACACTTAAGTTTCAAGGACAGATTTATGCAGTAAACAGCTTGTGAAGCATGGCAACATCCCCATTTGTAACTGTCGCACTGGTGCCGGACCTTTTCTTTTTAACGTTGCAGCAATGCGCTCTCCTCACTCCTGAGCCAGAAGGAGATCATCCTCAGCCTCCTGCAGGAAGTAACCGAAGGAAAGGGCATCCCACATTGTCCGCTCTTTGGCCCCCATCTTGCTCACTGACCTAGGGTCAGGGTTCCCACTTTCCACAGGCTGCGAAGCATCGAAGCTGCTGAAACCGACAACGGTCAACAACATAGGGACACAAAGAAACAAACTAGCGGCTAACTCGCGAACATGCAGGAGCACCGGTGAGGCTCTCAAAACCACTCCAAAATGCGCACCAGACTGTGGCGGGGACACGATACTTGGAGGCTTGGAAGCCTACACTAATCACTAATCAGCCGTGCAAAGCAATGACAAGGTTAGACTATGCAACACACGAGCCTCGAGCGATCAATGAACGTTTCACGTGCTGGTCAGGCGCGGATAAGCAGACAGTGCAAAACACGAGACTCCAGCGATCGTCGGATAGTCACGATTGGAAAAAGCAGCAAAGCATGGACCTTGCGTGACGCTGTTCAAATCATCAGGGCTCCGGCAGGCCCAGGGGGCGGAGCTCGAGCCCTCCCAACAGCCGACGAACTGCCCCGACTATTCCCGCCTGCCGTCTCCGGAGAAAGCGGAGACCTCTCTTCTAGTTCCGCGCGGCACAGGGCCAAGTTCCAAAGGTGTGCTTCGAGCGGAGTCCGGCACGTCTCCCCCACGCTGCCACGATCTGCCACGTAATGTACGTGTTCGGTGACAAAACACTGAGCTTGAAAGGGTCTGTCAAACAACCCATCCAGCTCCCTCTCTCTCTCTCTCTCTTTACAGAAGCTGCGCCGTGGGCTCTTCATTCAGATGCCAGGCACTCCGCCGTAACACATACGCCTATATTATGTACCATCGCGTGTTATCTCTTCATTCTGTCTGAGACCAAGCGGCAGCATGCGGAGCTCGCCGGCTTCGGCGGCTTCCAACAAAAGGGAGGCCATCTTCCCAATGGGGGGCGTCGTGGGCGCTGGGTCGTCGTCGTCGTTGATCAAGCTGGAGGCCCTGTCCAGGGGAACTTGCAGCTCCTCCCTGAGACCCTTTCCGAAGAGCGACTCGGTTTGCCGGCGGATGGCCAACAGCACGGCGCTGCTCAGCTTCAGAACCTCGTCCATCGTGGCGTCCTCGCTGGAAGGCCGCGAGACCATCTCCACGAAGTTCCGAAAGTTCTCCAGGACCAATTCCGACGGCGCCGCCGCCATGGCCACAGCCTCGGCAGCCTCGGCCTCTTGCGTCGCATCTTTCTGCAGGCTGAGCGCAAGCTCAAATCGCCTGATAAGCCGGCGGAGGCAGAGACCAAAAGTGGCATGGCCAAAGTAGACATCCGCCTGGTAAACACGGGTGCTGGAAGTGATCGCAGTGAAGACCTGGAGCCATTGCGCGATGTCCTCTTGAGTCCAGGATCCCTGCTTGGGACTCTCACTCGCCTCCGCCTTCTTGCCGCCGCCTGACAAGCCGCTGAGGCCTGACAGGCCTGAGGCCCCCCCGATGTCTGTCAGCAAGGCATCCTTCACCTTGCGGAAGCGCTCCAGGAAGTCCCCGTAGGTACCGTGAGACCCCAACTCCTGCGTCTCCATGTAGCTCTGCACCAGGTCTCGCATGTAGGCCTTGCTGCCGAGTGCACGAAAGAGCTCCCGGCGCAAGGGCTCGGAGACTTTCGTCAAGGGCACCTCGTAGGAGTGGTCACCTGCATGGAGGAAGCCGTGTACTGTACATATCAAGTTACAATATATGTGTTAATAACAGGTCTTAGAAAAACTCTTAACGCCTTTGAAGAGTCTCAGGAAAGGGATGAGGAAGGGGTGGTCTTTTTCCGTGGTTCATTTGCTTACTACTGTTTTTGGGTTGGTCCTGCCACGGAGTCCCATTGCTCCAGGCCACGTCCAAAAAGTGCCCAGGTCTTGGAGGCTTTGTTGCTTTGAAAGCTCTTCAGGGCCGGCAGGCCCACAGAAAGGCGACCCAGCAAGGCTTTCAGGTAGAGCAGGTCGGCCTCGAGCTCGGGATCTTCAAAGCTGCGCTTTCTCAGCTCTCTGAGCCTTTCGAAGACGTCTTCCTGAAAGCTCCTGGGCCAGGCCCACCGAAAGCCGCTGTCCAAGTTCTGCAGAGAGATCCAGCCATCCCGGGTGCGGCCCCGGATGCGGCCGTCTTGGGGAAGGGCTTGAACTTCCAGCACCTCCACGGTCTCACCTTTCGCCAGTTCCTTCAAGAAGGGCGGAGGGCTCAACTCCTTGGAGGGGCCGACCATCACCTTCGCCAAGGAGATCACGACATAGTCGCCAACCGGGAAGTGCTCAGCCTCAAGGACCTCTCTTCGCAGAAGTGCTTCCAGCTCTTGCCCCAGCTCAGAGCGGCAGGCAAGGAAACTGGGCACGTTCTCGCTCTCCTGGGCCGCGCTGAAGCGGACAGCGCGAGGCGATGCGACGGCGGGCGTCCGCAACGCCCCGGTGAGCAGGGAGACGCTTCCTGTTGCGTCTGGGCCAAGGAGTCCAAGGAGGTCAAAGAGGAGCAGGCATGGCAGGCATGGCAGGCTCAAGCGGCTCAAGGTGAGGCTCGGGGAGGTTGGCCGCCTCGAAGGCATCCCGGGCGCCGCGGGCGCCTCCCCCTCCCGAGAAGGCTTTTGCGCCCAACTTTTTCGAGCCGACAAAAAAGGGGCGGCGGACCCTCCCTGGGAGAATCGGATGTGAGCGGGAGCCGGCTCCGCTCCTGCCTTGGCCACGTTGGAGAGGACTTTGATGGTCGCTGCTCGTGGCTCATCCTCCAGCAGCGCCTTCTCACCTCGCACGCTCTCTCTCTTTCGTCCGTTTCGCAAGCAACAAAATTGAACTGCCGCGACAAGGGGCCGAAGTATGGCGCCTTTTCTGGGGTGGCCTGCAGTTTTTTTTTTGGCTGCCCTGTATTGACTGGCAGAGTTCATGCACCTTGATCTTGGTGACCTCCTTGCCGTCCTTCACCACCTTGGCAGGCTTCCAACAGCTTTGCTTTGCCTCCGAGGTGGTCTGGGCCCCGAACGCTCACCTCACCCTCTACAAGAAGGAAGAACTGCGTGCCTGAGCAGAGAGAGGTCAGCCTGTCATGCCCGCCATGGGCTTCGCCGTTCTTGGTCCGTCACCACGCTCACCCTGCTCGAAGACCAGCTCCTCCTGACCCACGTCGCCAAGACGAAGCATTGCAAAGCCACTTTGACAGGCCCTTGCACATTCGAGCTGTCTCCCATGTGTCGACTTGTGACGGGAGTCATCACAGCGGAACATGTGTCACACAAATACATTTGGGTGGGCAGTGGGCACTCGTCAAACGTTGACGAGAACATAGAATGCTCCTTGCTGAAGGTCATCTCGTTCATGGCAGCTGCTAGCTCCTTCTTCTCGGTGTCCTGACTTTCTGAACTCTGAGAAGCTCCGACCATTGCGGCCAAGAATCCTTGAGTGGAGAAAAGCAGTCGCAGCGGCTGACCTCACTCACATCTCGGTGAATATCTGCCGTCTAGCAAGTCGACACCTTGGGCGTTGACATGCTTGAGGTTCTCCTGAATCTCTGTCTCGTTGGCCTCCGGCTCTTAGACAATAGGGAGCAGCGTGCTGAATGCATCGCATCTGCAGTGGGCGCCTTCATGAGGAGCTCTTTGAATTGCTGACGTGCGGTGACCCAAACGACGGCGTTCGCCGTGGCCGTCAACGTGGCCGCCCGGGGCGCGAAGTACAACAAGGCCAGCTCCCCGAAGCTGCCGCCGGCCTGCTCCCCCCATGCTGTCTTCGCTTCGCTTCGCTTCGCTTCGCGCAAATGTCCCCCCGCCTCGATCGTTCCCAAGGCGGAAGAAACCACCCTGGGTCGTCCAGTCTCTGTGATCTATGTATGTCTTTGTAAGTTTGCAGAAGGGCGCACTTCTCGGCACTGGCAGCACTGTCGGTCTTGGAAACCTGGAAACTGCCCGACTGGACGACGTAGAAGTAGTCGGCCTCTCCAAATTAAGGAGAGTCAGAGACTCGGAGAAAGAGAGAGACAGAAGAGGCACAGGGCCCTTTTGACGGGTGCTGCTTATTGCCGCTCCTGGAGGTCGCCTTGCTGAATGAGGGCGGTTCCTTTGGGCACCTCCTCCTTCCACATGACCTTCACCATGGCCCGAATCCTCAGCTGAAGGCAAGGGAGAGCAGTCTGCAAACGTGCCATGGATGAAAAAGAGGCTCGTTCAACCAACCGTACGACCTTATGGAGTGATATCGCTTTCATGGCGGAGCCTTGCTGCAAGCCTCCAGAGAGTGAAGCAACAGAAGCACCTCGACAGCTGACGGAAGCCAGCCCATGAACTTGCACGCTTCGTAGCAGGACAATCGGCGTGACGATGCTGATGGATTGCTGGGGAAAGGAACTTGAAGTGACGTGTTGGCTGCATACTTGCAAAAGTGGGGAACGCCTGAATGAGTAGAACACCAGGAAACACGAAGCTTACATGAGGGCTAGCCAGGCCTTAAACCGTGCCCAGCCCTTGTACGAGAGCGGCGAATCTAGGGCAGGCTACGTGGAATACTGGTCGGAAAGGCAGTGCATGGTACCTGGGACTGGAATCGGCCACGGCAGAAGAGCCGGGCGCGGAGACGCGTGGTATGGATCCTGTCTATAAACTGGCACCGCGCCAGCGAGATGACCGATGAGATCACGTATAGTATACTCCCCCAAAGGCTGGAAAAGCGCGAGTCGTCCTCGTGATGACTCGACTGATGACTCTAACAGTCTCTAACATGGACTCTCTTCGCTGTCGCGCAGCACAGCCCCGGGATATGAGCCATTGCCTGCTTTGTGGAGCCAGTACACGAGCTGTGACAGCTGTGCCCATGAACCGCACCGACCTGGTCTGACCTTCTACATCTTCGCACGGGAAATCGTGCGAAGAGGCGTTGACCCAGGTGCAGTAGCCGCAACGCATCCAGGAGCTGATCAACCAGGGCGAATGCCAGCGATCAAAGTCAAGCAGGAGCGCATCGAGCTTCCATCACCGAGTTGAACAGGGCGAGCTCCGCCTCATCCGTTACTTGGAGAGTGTGGGATCAAAGCAACCTAGCGCAAGGATGCGCAAGGCCAAGGGGGTGACCCAAGCGAGCCCCGAAGGCATCTCCGAAGAAGGGCCCAGGGCGCGAACAATTCAAGCTCCGATTGCCGAGGAAGCCACGACGGTTGCTCACGGGGTTCAGGAGGTGAAGGAGAAGTCGGAAAGATGCCGCGCAACATCGTCGCCGGGAACACGGACACAAGCGAAGAAAGACAGCTGTTGAGTATGCAAGATCGACTCATAGACAGCCATGCCGGCATCTTCGAGAGGGAGGTATGAGGTCATAGACTTGCGCTGCTGGAAATCACGAGTGAAGCCAATAGTCCCCTCGCCCAGACAGCCAACTCGCAGCTGGAGTGGTATCGCTCCGTTGATGACTTCATGAAGCAGTTAGGATTTTAACTTTGAACGCTTGTCTTCAGATGCTCTTGGGTGCTCCGTGAAAACGGTGTATTTCGCAGCATGGTCAACGGTCATGTCGACAACGTCTGGTCGGAAAAGAGGGAAACTCAATCTGGGAAGCCATCCGCGTAAAATTCAAGCGGGGTCATTGGGACGAGGGCAGATTCACACAGCCTGGCGTGCTGGTTGGGCGATCGTCCTCCGGACACCTTGAACTCCATCCACTTCCAGTGGAGCAAGCTCGTACCAACCATACACTGCTGTTCAACATACCAAGACATGCATTGTCAGGGATAGCAGCAGGAATGTCTACGTCTGGAATTACGGAAGTCCTGGCAGCGAAAGGAGAAGAGAAGAGAGAAAAGGAGCAAGGCAGAAAAAGATGATGGCTCTTAAGGAATCCCAGATCTGCACCAGGGCCGAGATCAAACGAGAACACAGCGAAGCCCAGTTGCCCGACAGGTTGACACAAGCAGCTGGCCACCTAGAATATTATCTTTTCTACAAGATGGGCCCTCAATAGAGACTGGTGGAGGATTCAACAATAATGTCGGCACGGCGGAGGAAAGAACTATGGCTAGGCCTGCAGCCTCTTCAGCAGCTGAATGCGAAATCTAGAGCTGAAGGGGTCGGTGGCAAGGGCATGCTCAGCTACAGCCAGCATCAACGGAGCTATGATTTTTCTTCTTTGGGAGGAACGGGGGGGCAGCTGGCAGTGCGGAGGCCGTAAGAGCTCCGTAGAGCCATCCTATGCATTCCTCTTTGCACTGTGGAGCTCGACCTCTGAAGTACCTCTGCTACCAGTGTCAGGCCCTGTTAGTAGCCTATGCGTCCTTATGCCCTTATGTGCCCTCTTTTTGCAAGGCAGGTGCTTCTCGTCATCGAGGCTGGCGATCATGTTCAGGTTCGCGTTGTTCTTCAAGGCCTGAGCCTGAGAGTGCGAGCGCGCAAAGACAGCCCGAGGAGCCCCCTTGCAAGGATCCCCTCCCGGACTTCCGACCGGTCTCCCAGGGAGCTCCTGAGCAGCAGACGATCAGCTGCTTCTCCTCGAAAAGCAAAGGACCGCCCGCCCTACGAATTCTACTCTCGCGGGCACCCTCAGAACACCCCCCGCGATGCAATCGTGCTCTTCTGGCTAAAGCTCCAAACAAGCGATACGAGCAGAAAAGCATCCTGGCCGAATTGCAATCGGGCTGCACCGTCAGTCTTGTGGTCAGCCGCCTTGTTTTCAGCGTTCGCCATTTTGCCTCCACCAACAGCACCTGGGGAGATCTGTTCCAAACTGTGAACGGGCTGACTGGCAGGAGACCTCTCTTTCCAAACTCCAGCTTTGTGTGGAGCTCCAGCTTGACAAAGGCCTCGACTAGCGAGGAGCACCAGTGCACACTGCAGGAGGCCTTTCTGACAGGCACCTCCCGAGTGATTCTCCTGAGATTCAGGTCAGACTGGAATCAGAGATCGCATTGGCAGCCTTAGGCCCCCTAGGCACACGCATGCTGTCGGCTCGGGATCTGCATCCGAGCGGCAAAGCCTTGATCTCGCTGGCTGCCTCGAGCAATGCTGAGATTGACCTATATGATGGATATCTAAACCAAGCTTCGCACTGTGATGGTAGCGGTCCGCGGGGTGTCGCGTAGCAGAGCATTCTCTCCGAAATAGTCTCCTGCCTCTCGATGTTGCTCGGAGACTCACAGGCGTTTTCCCGTTTCCCCGCTGGGTTCTGCTGGTCCGTGCCTTGAGCGTCGCGATCCGATGACCATTGACCTCCACACCTGGAGCTCCCACGGCATGGTGCACACATCTCCCTGCCGTCCTGCCCCCGGAAAGTTCCTGCTGTACCCCTCTTCAAGATGAAGAACTCATCTCCTGCAAGGATTTGAGCTTACAACAGTCCTCGTTCTTCAACTCGCACCTTCAGCACCCTGCTTGATGATGACGTCGTCTTTGGCAAACAACACCTCCTCCGCAGATCGTGCCAGCGCCGGCAGTTCGTCCTGTTCGCAAGGCGACTGGAACGGCTCCCGCTCAATCGCTCCACGAGTAATTAAGGTCCCGTGGCAGCCGCTTGAAGAGCTCCACCTTGGAGGTCGAGTTGCAAGGCTAGGCGGCTAGGCCGCTTGGCACCCGCGAAGACGCAATCCGGACCTTCCCCAGAAAAGCCAAACGTTCTTCGTCGGTGACTTCCCTGGAACTGCCGCAGCCCATCGCGGAAGGAGCCCGACCAACGTGACTCCTAGGTCCTAGGCTTCTTTGGGTATCAGATCAGATCAGATCAGATCTGTCTGTAGCGCCTTCTTGCAGGCTACGCTCTATTAGCTCCTTGTGCCAGCACGTATAGGGTATGGAAACGTCTCTGCACTTGAAGCTTGTGGGCGACCTACAAACACAAACGGCTGAGAGGGACTCCGTGGCCGCGTGGCGTGTGCCGCAGTGCCGTGCAGGGCCCATGCAGTGCCTCTGCGCTTCTGCCATCTTCTTGAGGCCTCGGGAAAGAAGAGGTGGGTCATTACCGCACCGCGGGGCCGGGGCCTTCGATCCACTCGTTCTCTTGACACGGGATGGCACGGAACCTTCGCACAGAGAAAGAGTGTCTGAAGTGCTGCGGCGGCAGCGCCTGGAGGCCTCGCCTGGCCAAGCCCGGCTCTGGCCTCGCGGAGTCTCGCGTCTGACGCGGTGCTCTGCTCGCTTCGGCTTCGGCTTCGCCCGCCTGAAGTTGGGCGGCCGGAGGCCCGGCAAGCCTGGCAGGGCCTCTGCCTTGCGGCTCTTGGATCGTGGCAGCTGGCGAAGGTCCTGCAGCTCGCGAACCGCCTCCGTCCTCGCCCCAAGCGGCTAAGGTGGCTGAGCCTGCGTGGGAGGCTGTGGGAGGCCCTCTTCATCGAGCTCCAGGAGCTCTGCGCCGACCACCTGACACTCACAAACAGACCACCTGACACTCCAACCACAAAGAGTGCTCCAGCCTCACGGTTCACATTGAAACCTGACACAGAGGGCCATAGCACCAGAGTGCCAGAAGAGCACCCGCTCTGGTGAAACTGAGCTGCTGAAGTTCCAATGCTCTGACTTTGGAGTTCGCGACGGGAGCTTCCTCAGCGATGCAAGATGCCTTCGATTCGTTGCATGTGCTTGGGAATGCTCGCCTGGGCTTGGGTTTCTCCCTGCATGGCTTGGGAGCATCCTGTCAGCGAGACTGGAAAGAGAGTGGACGTCGCGGTCTTTATCAACCACGCCTCATGGAGGGACTCTTTCACGACGCTCTCAAAAGCCTCTCCGCGGATGTGGCTCTTGCGCTCGAGAGCGCTTCCAACAGCTAAGGCCATGTGGGGGGCCCCGGGCCTCCTTACAGCGCTGCCGCAGATCTGGGCAGCCCTCGAGGGGGAGCACATCGCGAGAGAGAGAGGGCGAGAGAGAGAGAGACTTAAGACTTATGTGTGCCGACCCCCCGGAGGCCTCGGCCAAGCTCTGGAAATCGAGGGGCCTGTAGGGCTTCGAGTCTGTCCCGCGCCGACTCGAGTCTTTGCTGGCTGGCTCTGAAGGGAGCTCCATGTCCTCGTCAGAATGGGCGGGGGGAGCGAGAGAGCGAGGAACAAAACACACAAGAATGCACACAATAAAAAAAGCGTCACCCTTTCTCTCCTTGCTCTCCTTGCTCTGCACGCTCTGCACGTGCACGGACTCCGGACCAGAGCTCTGGTCCAACTCCTCGAGGAGCTTCTCCAGGTCCGGCACGTCCTCTCGCGCCTCTCTCGCCGAGGCCGAGGAACGACGCGGCCTCGGCGCGAGGGCTTAAGGCCCCTGAGCCAACTCAACTGGCGACGCTGGCGAGGTGCAGCACGGCGCCATCCGAAGGACCAGGCAAACCCTCAAGAAGCAGCCGCGTGAAGCCTTGTATCCGCAGACGGCAACTGACAGGGAATTCTGAAGTCTGGTGCCGGGGAAGCTGCTGCTCATGCGCTCGCGGCAACAGCCAGCGACGGCGAGGGCGCGGGCATGCGCGAAGCCCGTGCCGAGTTCTGGAACCCTCTTTAGCCTTGATTTCGACATCACATGGAGTTCGATGTTCTTGAACTTGAGCCCCGAAATGGGCCGGCCGTCATGCTGGCAGATTGCAGATGACATGGCTTGAGCAGCGCAGCGCAGAGCAATTCGAGTGCGGTTCGGGCTGGGAGTGGCGAGTTGCGTAAACCTTGGGCACTGGCGGAGGCCTGAGCTCCAGCTCTCTGCCTTTTCGACGAGGCAGATGCAAAGAAGGCAAGGAAAGAGAGAGAGAGAGAGAGAGTCTGCGGCTCGTCTGCGCTCGGCTTCGGCTCTGAGATCTCAGGACCGGGCCGCGGAGCGGCGGCGCTTTTCACCGCCGTTCGTCGGGGCCTCCGAGGTGAATCCCCTACTCCCCTACACGGAGCCCGCGCTTCTCTGAGTTGTCTCAGAATCTCTCGCCTTGCGGACATCGCAGCCGGGGCCTTGGCCGACTGAGAGTAACCCGACAGCTGCCAGGCATCATTCATTCATCAATGGCCTTGTCGAGCGCAGCCGCGCGCACGCAACGCTGGTCTGTGGCCCATCTGTAGAGGCCCTTGGTCCTGACTCCTGTATGCTAAGATGTGTCAGTATAAGACATGAAGGGTACCGTTTGGGGGACCAGAAAGTGCTGACAACAATGAAAGCAAGCCAAGACGTGCAGGGCGCCCGATTGTGGCAGTCACTGCCATGCTGTTTGGCAGACTTTGCTCAGGAGTGTGCTTGGCCTTTGGTGGTCCTGCGACAACCGACTAGACCTTCGATTACCTGTCTTACCGTGCACCAGGGAAGTTTCGGGGACCCTTGTGGCCCGGCGATCTTCAAGTATGAAGCGCCAACAGCTCATTCGAGGGATCCTTATAATGTCGAGACTACGGGTTCCGCACCGTGCCGAAGGTGAGCGGAAAGTAGGGTGCCCAGTGTTCCCCCCCCCCCCCCCCAAAGCTTGGCGCGATCACTCCATCGCTTCTCGCAGAGCCTCGGCGCAGGAATTCATCCTTGGGGCCCCCGCCAGTCCAGTCTGCGGATGGCTCGAGTCATCGCTTTGAAGAAGTCAAGATGGCGAGATGTCTCATCTTGCCACCTTGCGCTACCTTGTTCGGAGTGCCTGGGGATGCCAATCATGAGTCATGCTTGGATTGACGGCAGGGCATGCAGAAAGACTTGAACTGATGCGATCGGCACAGCTTGAGTCTGCATGAGCAGCAGCAGTTGCATCGGGAAACAAGAGATCTCGCTGAGTCACAAACTCGCAACGAGACACAGAGTCACGGCAACACTCAGCCAATGCGTACCGTACCGGCTGCTCCAGGATTTCACGGCGCTCGACGCAGGGCGCGCTCGTGGCGAGGATGAGGGCTCTCAGGCATCCGGGGCTCCTCCCGTAAGCTGCAGCCGGATCCTTCGGATCTCAGCGGCATTCTTGGCTGCCTGACAAAGAGCGGGGTTTTCGGAACTCTGCCGCCCGAGAATTTGGCTTCGCCTGCTCCGCTGCCCGGCCCCGGAGTGCTTTGGCCTGCCATCGCCATCGCACGCACAGCAGCAAAAAGGGGGGCCGGGTTTCTGCGTCGAGGCTCCTTCTCGGCCTTCGTGGCTGAGCGATGCACGACCTCTTCATCTTAAGCAGAAAGAAGCACTCACTCCAAGGTGTAACTGACCTGGCCTCCAGCGCTTTCTCCATTTCTTCGAGTGCGGCACCGGCCCCTCCCTCGGCCGCCGCTGCCTTCGCGCCGCGCCGTGCGCGCGCGCGCAGGAAAACAGTGCAGAAACCAATGGGCCTCGAGTTTTTCAAACAGGGAAGCTGGCCCGACAGTGGAACTGATTTCCGAAAACACTTGAAAACTCCGAAATACATGCGAACACAAGGCAAGCGCTTCAGGCTCGATAAACAGTTCCAAAATGGAAACGAACAGGCATCCGGGCGTGCTTTTCTTTTGAATGCTGCTCGGTGTATGCGTTTTGTGGGTGTGTGTATATGGGACCTCAAACACATCGGCATCGAGCACCGGCGCAAAATATCAGAAATTCACACCGGACAACATGACCGAAAAGAAGGAGCGCATTCCTTCTTGTTGATATCACAACCGGGCTTGATAATCACAAACATACTCTCCTGACTCTGAGTACCACCAACCTGGCATGAACACGCGACTTTCAATGATCATGAATCATGACAAAGTGAGTGCCAGATTGGATTCGAATGCTCCCTTCTTTGCTTTTTCTCTTGCAACCTGAGCAGCTGTGTCTCAAGTTCCTGTCCGCAAGACCACGGCAAGAATGCCCCAGCTGATCAAGCCAGAGAGCAAGAGCTATCGCACAGTTGTAGCGCCCAAAGTTGGTAGAGCTGCACACCAGCACTCTACAAATCCGTGCAACTATCAAGGAGGTCTCGAGGCTGAACTGACTTCGGGTATAGATGATGACACACTAAGCCGCTTCGCTTTCCCCATTGCACTCTTTTTACGGCGGCCTCTGTTTGGGAACCCAAAAAGAGACCCGATTTTGGACAGCCCCCCACATGTTAGACCACTAGCCAAATCGACACGGATACCTGTGACATCCTAAGGAGTGGCCAAGGGCTTTGCTGTAGTGTCCGAAGCTTCTCGCAGTTACTTACCAGGGACAACGGATGTGCAATGTGCAAGCAAGCAGCGCCATTAGCCTGCACGCAAATTCCGAGTGTCTCCTTCTGCTATTCGACTTCCGGCTTCAGTCTGTTACAGCCTCCGAAAGAGGACAATAACCCCGTTGCTGTGAAGCACCTTCCATCCATGTTCTCGGCGGGTCTGTACACCGCTTTCAACTTTCACTTCACTGGACGGTGGCAGGGGTAAGGTGACCTGTATCCTTGTCTTGTTGCCACGTTACTTCGGCAACCAAGGCAAGCCTCAAACTCCGCACACAAAGGCCGCGTTAGCTTTTCCAGCTGCCTAAAGACTGTTTTCAGGACTGAAAGATTCTGCAGGTCCAGGTCCGACGGGCAGCATGCGCCCGAAACGAATTGGACTACCAGGCAACAACTGCTTGCAAGGCAAGCTTTCGGCACCGTGTCTGCGGAATTGAGGGCAACGTCAGCTGCTAAAAATACCGGGAGAAGTCTTCGGGGACGAAAAAAACGTCTTCGTTGATAGAGACAGGTTTTCCAACTCTGGGGACATGCCCCAAGGCACACCGCCCTGCATTTTTTCTTAGATGCTTTCCCGTGTGCAAAGGAAAAGCCGGATGAAGATCACAATGCTTCTATCAGCCAAGCTTTTGAGCCTGTGAGTGTCGAATGAGGTGTGCTCTGAAGACCGGGTGCCTTTCATCAAATGCACCTGGAGGGACTGTAGAAAACTTCAACCGTGGACAGGCTGGCATCGAAAGCTTTCTGTTGCGATGAAACCATGTGCAGCCGAGCTCTGAAGAGCTCCTCCTCAAGTCTTTACAGCACGGAAGCACTTCGAAGCTTTTCTTGTACGCAGTCTCTGTGACACGCAGGTTTGTGCTCCGATTTGCTTGCCTGTGGTTTGGATTGCTACCTGCTGGATTCGAGACACTCCGTGCGAAGATGCTCTGTGCTGAGAGAGAATGGCGTGCCAAATGTGTGATGCCTAGGATGAACCCTGGAAAGAAGATGGCATCACCACGGAGGCATCACCGGGATCATGTGTGCGACCGCTGGCTCTTCTAATGACAGATCTGTAGTTCCCCTGATGGCCCACCCAGTCTCTAATCGTCGTCATGCAGGAATATTCGAATTTCTGCGCAAGCCTGATGCAAACTTGAGGTGCGGGGCCAAGCAACGAAAGCTAGAGTGGGCTGAGGGCCATCATCAGCACACCATCTTCATCGTCATCACCACCGCCATCATCAGCAGCACCGTGGTCATCACAAGAAGCTACATCATCGTCAGCAAGAGCATCAACTTCGAAATCATCATCATCATCACCATGATCATCATCATAATCATCATCCACGCGCAGGAAGGCTGTTTGGTCTTCCAAACGTTTCGAGTTAGTCCTTTGTGTCTGCCGCCCTGCAAAGCTAGCATACCGTTGCATACCTAGCACAGCGAGCCAGTTCTGCTGCCTCCTGGCGCATCTCTTGGACCTCACCTTCGACTTGGCGAATCCTCTGCTCCACCTGAGACACAAGCGGCGGCGAGAGTGCCGGTCTCCAACTTCCGCTTTAGCTCCGGACCAGGGCGGAGCTGGGCAAACGTTGCACCTGCGGACGCGGACGCGAAGAGTCGTGGATCCCAGTTCTAAGGCGACTCCAAGGCCGGCGCGGCGTCCTCACCCGAAGAGGCCTCCGCCTCCACCTGCCACAGCGGCTGCTTTTGGGCGTCCCTTCGTGTCCCTAAACCCTGCGCGCCTGGTCCAGGAGGGCCGTGGCGTTGCCTTGCAGGGTTTCTGCCTCCATGAGCGCATGAGCGGAATTCGCAACATACTGTACCGAACACGCTCACGCGAGTCACGCGAGACAGGAGCCTCCGAGGTCAGTGATGCGGCAGCAAGACCAACACCTCCGACAGACCATACGTGCCGTAGGCTTGGAAGTGACACCGGGGCGAGGAAGGAGCCGACCTAGAACCTTGTCCATTGAAGCTTTCAGGACGCTTGTGAGGGTCCCGTCGACTGCCTTTCCTTGCGATGAAGCAGAAACTTTGGCGCAAGGCAATGCAATGCGGTATCGCGGGGCAGTTGCTCGCCGTCTCGGCCACATTTGCCTCCGACCTTTGGAGGGTGCTTTGCTCCTGAAGCGGGCGGAAACGGTGGGCACCGCGTGCTTTGTCAACTCAGCACTGGCCTGCGCCATTGCGCTTTCCAAGGAGACGTTCAACCCATGAAGCAGCTCTGCCCTGCTTGCCATGCTGCGAGCTCGAGGACTCCAATTATGTCGCTTTAAGCATCGCGGTTGCGTCGCCTCATATGGTCGGAGGCATCGACCTAGCAAGCTCCGAAGCTCAGCTTTGTGGCAGGACAAACGCCAGGCCGGCCAAACCAACTGAGCTTCTTCGCTCAGCGAATTCGGAATGCTTTACGCTTGAAACAGGACGCGTCTGGCTGAGGCTTTAGCTTTTCCCTGTATCTGCGCTCGAGCCCCGAGTGCTGCCGTGAGGATAGCCTCCGGAATGCTCAGGTTGGAACCGCAACGGCCAGTCCGGGCAGTGCCTGCTGCATGTCTGCCTTCGCGTTGACCAGCTGCACCTGACTTTTGTCTTACAAAGGTTCCGGGAATTTGGACATGCGTAGTTCCACCTGGCCGACCGGAGGCAAAGCCTGTGCGGTGAACCATGACCGGCAGATGCTGTTGCCATTCACACCACAAGGTTTTTCTGCACCTCAATCTCAAAGCTCCTGGTCCTTGTGTTGGCGGACTCCACCTGCCAGGGCCATGTGTTTTTGAGCCACTTGAGCGGTAAACTGTTGGTCTTGCAACTCTCAGCATGAGCTGCGAAAACAAACACACACACACACACACCCACACTTACTACTTAATCTACTTGCAGAAGTAAAGATCTTCAGCCACATAGGCGGTTAAAGGATTTTCGTCGACATGCCAGATTTGCGGCTCTGCCTGGTTGCCATGCGGAATCAAAAGACTCTTTGTTTTTTGGCCTAGCCCCATGCCACTGCGGACAAATGGCAGGTACACCGTGAGACGTCTGTCACGGCTTCCCCTCCAGTTGCTTAGCCCTTTGGACCAGGTTCGCAAGCGGAGAGGTGGACCCCCTGCTTTCCGTTTGTATTGCATCCCTTCGTAACAGGGTTCCCCCTCCACAAACGAAGACGTGGGCATTGCGGCACCTTGCACAAAAGAAGTGCAAGATAGCCACACTGGACAAACGGAAAAAAAAAGGCTCTGCAGCAGGGCGGGCAGTTGGCTGCGAAACCTTAAAGCAGAGTAGTAGTAAATAAAATAAAAGAACTGCAGTTGGAGGCCGCCGTTGGGGCTTGAAAAAAGCCTCCTTGGCTGCGAGCTTTGAGAAAGAAAAAAACAAGAACATGTGACTCGGAAACGACACATGTGGAAAAAGGAAGAAGAAAAAAGAGAAGGGCTGGCCCACGTTGGGCACTGCAAACCTTGTTAGAGGACTGCGCTTGCAGTTCGCAGGTCTTAGAACATGCCGCAGCTTTGCAGCCCATGTCCAATTATTGATAAGGCCAAGCATCTGCAGTTCGCAGGTTCTACCAAACTGCCACAACACCACAGTGCTTGCCTCGTGACAGCTGAAACAGCCAGGGCGTTTAAGAACGGTGTCCAACAAGCATCCCTACCTGCATCTCAACTGACTGATGACAAACTGTGGGAGGATATCAGCAATTGGTGGCAGCTTTTCTTTCATATGCTTTACCAGATCAGACGAGGCATGAGTTTGATTGCCGAAAGCAACGCAATCAATTGATCAGCCTTGAGACGTGTCTGGCCCAACAGGGAACCGTTGAAGCCATCCTCCCATCGATTCTTCTGCTGCGCAGCCATGAGCGAATGGTGCGAGAAGAACTGGGACAACAAGAACGATGATCCTTGGTCCAATAACCGAGGAAACCAATGGACCGAACAAAGTTGGTCCTCTTCAGGATGGAACTCTTGGCCATCCGCACCTACTATCTCAGGTACGGCTCCGCCTTCAGCTCTGAAGCCTACTCTTATTGTGTCATTTCATTCTGACGACAAGTCTAGGATCGTCAGCCGGTCAGCAAACAAGGTCATCGAAGAAGTTCAGCCTACCGCCGTATGGAGCCGCAAGCAAAGCTTGCTGGACGCCCCATAGAGGAAATCCGAGCATGGGCACTTCCCCCTCGGGGCCTTTCTGAGTTTTCCTTTCGATGTTTGAGCGAAGGACGGCATCAAGGAATTGTTTGGACCCCAACTGAGCCGCTGAAAAGAATCAGGGAGCTGGAGTGGCCAGAACCTCTTTCACGGAAGACAATCCCGACAAACACAAAGACGCCACTGGGTTCAGCTACTGGTAGCCGATCAGGGCTCATTAGAACCGATCACGGTTCAGAACCGTACAGGGTTCAATGCAGTAGGCAACCCTACCGCAGACGGCAATGCTTGCAGTTACGTCCAGGTGATCAGCCTGGATATCCTCCCAACTCAAGAGTAGCTTCGTTGGCAGGGGACTCTTGAGTCAGCCACTGCCCCCTGCTGAAAGCACCAAACCAATCAAGATTCTTCAGTGCCTTATCCCGCGGTAACAGGGTTGTGCACACACACACACACACACATGCAGTCGGTCCTACAGTCACAGGTAGCATTTGCTACCACAAACCCATTGCAGCATCGTCATCCTTTCACAAAATCAAAAAGGACCTCTTGGATCCTGTCGGCGAGGCCGTCGACTCTGGCATTGAGGTGCCCAATCGCCTGTCAGGTTCGAGCTCGAGGGCTCTTGCAGGGCTTTGGGGTCTTCGGTGCCTCTGCGGATGATTCCTTCACTGCCTCTCGAGAGCTCTCACTCTTGATCTACGCATGCTACAGAATTGCAGTAGCTGCAGGGGCGCCTGCCGCTCAGGGCGATCCTTCTTTAATGTCTTCGCCAGGTCATCTATCTTGTCGCCGATGTCGCGAAGCTGCGCCTGCCAAGCAAAATCAGCGACTGCGCCTTGGCTCCAGAATGTCGGGCACGGGGAAGGTCATTACAGTGATGTCGGAGATGAAAAGATGCTCAGGAGGCTCGCGAGACCGCTTGCCATCGTCAAGGCCAATTGGCTGACAGCATTGACAAACGCAACTGGGTGGAATCGTCTGAGGGCTGCGCGCTCCGCGGGGTGGCAGTGTGGGCCTTCCCCACAGCAGAATGGAATTGAGGGACTCGGACCTTTTCCACTCCCGAGCATCCGCCCGTCCCGATCCTTGACCTCCATGTCTGCGCTGGTGTCACCTGCGATGGCCACCTCGAAAGTGGGGCGGAGGCCGTCAAAGAAGAAAGAAAACGACAAGCACACACGACGCATGAGCCTTTCCAAGGATCCCACTTGTTTGGGCACCGTCGGCTGGGCGGTCGGAGCCATCGAACCCCACGGCTCTGCTGCAGCCGAAGGCGAGGGTGCCTTGCTGAGAGTGGAAGCAGTGAAGCTGAGATGCCAGCGGCGACTGCCTTTGCTTCACGGCTTTTGGACTCAACCTTCAAAGCAGGTGCTTAAACGCGTCCCCATCTCGGTGGGTCAGCCGTGC